ATGTTATTTGGCTGCACTCTTGGAGTCTTGTCTCTGCACAATACGGAGATACGAAGTGCCGTGTTTCCTATTGTGTGGAGACACGGTTTTTTTATTTTTATGTTTTTTTTTTTTGCATTCATTAGCTTTTCCCTCATTTTTTTCTGTAAAAAATAACATCTTCAATTCATTAGTTTTTTTCTTCTTACTCTATATGTTGTCCGACCCAATTTGCAGCTGGTCGCCATTTCTGCCAATGTTATTTGGCTGCACTCTTGGAGACTTTTATTAATTTTTTCAGAAACAGTATTCCAATAAAAAATTGAGATTGTTTCTCCATTGTTCAACATAAGTGAGGAATCACTAGTATTCTTTGTCGGGTTGGTGTAGAGGAGATTGAAATCGATGATCTGGAGTTGTTTGAGTAGAAGATATTTATAAAATATCAACTGCAATTGGATGGCTGAAGATGAAGAAAATATATACCAATTAGTCAACAAAGATTACTGAATTATTCTAGTTATACATCAAGAATTGTACATAAGGGTATGCACCTCCCTCACATGAGGGGTGAGACCCATTGAAATAATATTTTTTTATTCGAGCGGGTCCCACCCCCCATGTGAGAGGGGTGTAGACCCTTATGTATGGGGTGATGTACCCCTAGCAATGCTCAAAATTACTAGATATTGAGGGATCACTGTAGCAAAACCAGATCGTGAATATTGGAGAACCAATTTCAGTGTGAAATGGAGGGTGCACAAATGAACAGTGATTTGATCATCCTCCGTTTTAATTAGTCAACAAAGATGGCTAGATATTGAGGGATCACGGTAGGAAATCGGATCGTCAATAGTGGAGAACCAGTTTCAGTGTGAAATGGAGGTTGCACAAATGAACAGTGATTTAACCATCCTCCCTTTTAATATAGTAGTGATTTCAACCAAGAACTTTAATAAAATAAAAATGTCTTACATGTTTAATTGGATGGGACAATTGGAAAGGTAGAATGTCAACATCAGCTATGCTATGCGTAGAAGATGGACTTTAATTAGACTTGAATCAGACCCCCCACCCGTCTGTGTGTTTTGGACCACTGATGACTCGTGTAGGGGTCTGAAAAGTGAAAACCATCTTATGCCAATTCTATCATGGTTGAATAAATTAAAATCTTGTTTCATCGTCAAATTCTAATCATCTTGTGCGCACGATAATCCTCTGCCACGGAAAAAAATAGTTGACGTTGTGAAAGTTTCATTTCCGAATAAAATAAAAAAGTCACTGTATCCTCAATGATGACTAAAAAATAAAAATTGAAAATTTGTAACTTGTGTTACTTGTGGTTCATTTTGGAATGTTGGAAGGCAGAAGTGTAAGTATTAGAAAGAGTGCTGAAAGTTTGTTCTGTTTTAGTGCCATTTGCGTCAATTTGTGTACGATAGTCTAGCCACTTTGAACTAGGCCCAAAACTGGAAAAGGTCATATTTTGGCAGAATTGCCTGGTTATATTCAACATATGCATATACTTAATTTTCAGATATTTTTATACAATACTCTTTTACAAGTGTGAATTTCACATTTATTCGATCTTAATAATGAGTAATTGTTAGTATTTTTTGAATTGATAATCAACTAATTTTGTGTTGTATTTTCTTATTTAGAAAATCCCGAACTTGTAGGGTAGCAATGATCTAAACGATGAAAAGAGGAATTTCATGTAGGCATCGATCAATTTGATAAGTGGTGGCGATCCCCTACAACACTTAATTACTTAATTATAAATTACTTGTAATTAATTTTCTTAGAAAAATATTATTCATTCTCGATTTATGTGATAGTGGGGTTACCATCACATTCTTCAGGTGAATAAAAATATATTTCGATTATTGAATAATGTAACTTTATTACTATGATCATTAAACTC